GTGACTGTGTCTCAGTTACCCTATCTGCAAAGGGGTCAGCTGCGGCTCGCATGCGTTGGCTGTGAAAATGAAACAAGACGGTGCCTTTTTGTGTGTGTGTGTGTGAGGAAGATTAGCCCTGAGCTAACATCCAATGCCAATCCTCCTCTTTTTGCTGAGGAAGACTGGCCCTGGGCTAACATCCGTGCCCATCTTCCTCCACTTTATATGGGATGCCGCCACAGTATGGCTTGACAAGCAGTGCGTGCCCGGGATCTGAACCTGTGGACCCCGGGCCACTGTAGTGGAGTGTGCGCACTGAACCGCTGCCCCACTGAGCCGGCCCCCAAGACGGTACCTTTAGAAGCACTTGGAAGGCAGTGGAACGCCAGGGTCTCGACACCACACACATGCCCCTTCCCTTGCCCATGAGCCACAGGGCAGCTGTGAGTGCCAGAGTTTGGCCAGTGCCACAGAGCTGTTCATGTCGACTGGCCTTTGGGTTACTTCCCTCTCCCCAGGGCCTTGGCTCAGGCTGTGCTCCTCTTCTAGAAGGTCTTCTTTGTTCTGCTTATCTGGGCAGAATGCTGGACACTGCACAACAGGCCTATTGGAGCTGGACAGCCCTTCAGGCTCCCTTGGGTTGATCCCTCATTGGAGTTATAGGGCCAGGGTGGGCAGGCGCCTGGCCTAGACAAGACTGAGGCCATCCTAGCCTGGTCAGGGGCCAGGCTTCTGTCCCTTCCCTTGACCCATCACATGGATACTGTGTTCTGCTGACTATGTCCAGGCAACTCCTGGAGGCTGGGCCACCCTGCCTTAGACTCTGACTGAGGTTCCTGTGGAGGGTTCCGGTGGCCAAGGCCCCCGGGCTGGCTCTGTCCAAGGGAGGCCAGATAGTCAGTGGTTGGGATCAGCACATGAGAGCTGCCAGCTCCCCTGGCCTCCAGCACAGAGGGTCAGCCAGTCCCCTCTCCGCACAGGTGCCCGCTGAAAACGCTGCAGAAATGTGAGATCGCCCTGGAGAAACTCAAGAATGACATGGCAGTGGTGAGTGGGGCACCGTGGCCTGGCGGTGTTTGAAGGGCTGCAGGTATTTCTGGGGAGGTTAGGGCTCACCCCACAGCAACTTGGAACCACAGGCTGGGAGGAGCTGTCACAGTCAGGGGTGGGCAGAGGGGGCACGCCACTCAGCCTGAGGACCCTGCCCAGGAGTCTTCTTCCAGGTCGCGTCTGCAGTGGGGTGTGAGGTGGGACAGCGTGCATAGGAACATGGGAGAAATCACCCTCTGGCTGCTGCTCCGTGGGTGCTTCCTACATCCCCTGGGCTTGTTGGTTTTTATGCATGCCGCCTCTGCCATCCTGCCTCCACCCGCCCAGCACAAGGCCAGGCCCCAAGGGAGGGAACTCTAGGGGAGGTTGAGGAGACGGGGTGGGAGAATTGGCCATCTTGGTCTGCAGTGGGCAGAGGTTGTGGGAAAGCCACGGGAAGTCTGACTGTAAGTGAGAGTGAGGACCTTGGGGTCTGGAGAGCCTCCCCAAGAGTAGGCTGCTGACCCCACCCATCCTGTCCCAGCCCACGCCCCCACCGCCCCCAGTGCCGCCAACCAAACAGCAGTACCTCTGCCAGCCACTCCTGGATGCTGTCCTGGCCAACATCCGCTCGCCCGTCTTCAACCACTCCCTGTACCGCACATTCGTGCCAGCCATGACGGCCATCCACGGCCCACCCATCACGTACGTACAGCGCAGGGTTCAGCCTTGCAGTGGGCAGTGGCTGGTGGGCCATGGGCCACAGCCTGGCCTGGGGTGGTCACCATGTCCGCCTCTTCCAGGGCCCCGGTGGTGTGCACCCGGAAGCGCAAGTTTGAAGAGGATGAGAGGCAAAGCATCCCCAATGTGCTCCAGGGGGAGGTGGCCAGATTAGATCCTAAGTTCCTAGTGAACTTGGACCCTTCTCACTGCAGTAACAACGGCACCGTCCACCTGATATGCAAGCTGGGTGAGTACTTGGGGCTGGTGGGGCTGGTGCAGGAGAGCGAGCCCTGATCTGCAGCCCCAGGGCTCTGCCCATGCAGGGGGCACAAAGCTTCCAGGCTGTGTCTCAGAACAGGCCCAACCTAGCACCGCACACTCCATGGGTCGTGATGTGCTCAGGCTCCCATGGACGTGCATGCTCACACCACAGCCCCAGGCCCGCAGTCCCCAGGTCAGAGCCTGCCTGAGCCATCCTCCTCAATCCTCACACATGTGGCCCAGGACATGCCCTGAGGGCTGGGCCATGAGCTCACACATTCTCACCTTGCCCGCGCGTGCCAGGGAAGCCCCTCCTTCCTGTCCAGATGTGGCTCTGCTTGCCTGAGCCCCTGGGGAAACGTGGAAACCTGAGTCAGAGTGACCTCCAGGCTTTGTAGCCAGCCTCACTAGAATCTTCTGGGGTGTGAAGAGCCCTGTTCAGGAGCAGGGCTGCAAGGTGGGGCGTGCCGGGTCACAGGCACAGCCTCGTGTGTTACAGATGATAAAGACCTCCCGAGCGTGCCGCCGCTGGAGCTCAGCGTGCCTGCCGACTACCCTGCCCAGAGCCCGCTGTGGATTGACCGGCAGTGGCAGTACGGTGGGTGAGCCAAGAGGACAGCCATGGGGAGGCCCAGGACAGGCGGGGATCAGCTCTGGGCAACCAGGTTTTTCTCCATGTGCCCCCTCCCACCCCACTAAGGCCCCCTCCTCAACTCCCCCTTCGTGGACAAGAGTGGGTTGCCCAGCAGTCCCTTGGAGAGAGAAGGGTCTCTGCCCGCATTGTGTTCCTTTGCCTGTTGACCTGCAGCTCCAGAGCAGCTGGGTTCAGTGGGTGAGGGGCAAGTAGGCCTGGCAGCCCTGGTGGGCCCCTGCAAGGCTGACATGGGGGCACAGACGGGAGCTTGTGCTCATGAGGACCCATCTGGGTGACATGGCTCCAAGCCAGAGGCCCGGAGAGAGCCCCGTTGTTGGGGACAGTCCCCCTGAGGCTCAGAGTTGGTGCACAGAAGGCCAGGACTGGAACCCTGAGGCTGTCCCTGAGGGAAAGCCCTAGGCTCCAGGCCCATTCACATTCCAGTTCTCCACTGATGGGTGGGCCCAGGAAGAGAGCCTGCCGGCCACCTTACTGTGTGAGAGATGGCATCCCTGGTGACTGGGGCTGGGTAGAGTGCCCAGACGTCAGTCCTGTGCCTGTGGGGGCAACCCTTTCCCAGGGAGTTGCTTGCGTGGGCCCGGGTTGTGGCAGGCTCCAGCTGTCCTGCCTGAGAGCACAGTGCTCACGGCCGCTGCTGTGTTGCAGATGCCAACCCCTTCCTGCAGTCGGTACACCGGTGCATGACCTCGAGGCTGCTGCAGCTCCCCGACAAGCACTCGGTCACGGCCCTGCTCAACACCTGGGCGCAGAGCATCCACCAGGCCTGCCTCTCAGCTGCCTAGCCACCACCGCCACTGCACATCTGGCCGCCCGCCAGGGACTGTGGGGGCAGCCGGCAGCCTTGTCGGGGCTGCAGTGGACACACACCTTGTGTCGGACGTTTCTAGGTGTTGGCTTCCTTAGAGAGCCTGGGCTTAGATTAGCTTTCCTGCTTTTATCTTCTGCCTTGGGGACCTGCCAAACATTTTCCCACACTTGTACAGGGTTGGCACAGGTGGCTGCAGAGCTGGCTGCGTCAATGAGGGGGTGGGACTCCCTCCAGGGAGTCGGACACATCCCCGGCCCCTGCATTCCTCGGGCTGCTGCTGTCCCTGCAGCCTCTGCAGGGCCCATGTCCTTCCTTAGCAGCTTGAGGGAGAACTCAGGGTCTTGTTAGAGCCTCTTGTGTGTGTGCCAGAAAGTACTTCTACCTGTTTCTGTAGGGGAACATGGAGAACATAGGAAACCCCTAAAATACACACAGAATTCTCTGATCACGGTTTTGCGTTCAGACCTTGCCACCGTTGGCATGTGGGGCACGCCGTAGGGAAGCTCCCAGACCCAGGGGCGCTGACAGTATCAAAAGGGAAGGCCGGCCTGTGGGCGGCTGCGAGTCTCTTGCCACCGGCTGGGCCTCATACCTCATGGCATTCTCCCTTCAAGCCCTGAGGGCCTGCTCAGCACTGTGGGGGTACCTGGGGAGTGGGGGCATATGGGTGGATCGTTTCCTAGACTCATGCCCACTAGTTGGGTGCTTGGGCCTGCTTTTGGGTCGGGGTGCTGTCCTCGGGACCTGGCATCCTCAGCCAATCCAGAGAGTGAAGCCTCCCTGACAGGGCATTGGCCAGCTGGCTCTCTGGCGACAAGAGGTCCCCCCTTTTGTATGTGCACTACCGTGTCATCTGTGGTTCTTATAATAAATTTATTATTCCTGTGTTTGTTGTGAATTTGTTACTGTGTCCCCCCTCGCGAGTCCAGGGCCCACTGTCCAGTGAGGGACGCTGTCAGGGCTGAGCCAGGTCCCCCACCTTGGAGATGTCCATGGACACTGAAACTTTAGTTCACCCTTGTCTGACAGTATCAGTGCCTCATCCTGGTTCACTGCCAGGTTTCCGGCAAAGTTCTTGCTCCCCAGAGTGGGAAGAGGCCGAGATTTGCACTGAGGAAACAGCCAGTGGGGCTGGGATGACTGTCCTGCCCGGCGAGGGTCAGCACTAAGCTGACCACACCCGTGAGGCATAGGAAGCTGCTGTCTAGCCACTGAGGGGGGTGGTGTGAGGCCCTCACAGGGTGGGGACATCGCCAGGTGGGGCCCTCCACGGAGGAGGGCGGGCTCTGCAGGACAGGTCATCAGCTGTGTTTGTCAGTGTGCAGGCAGGTCGGCGTCTTGACCATGTGCCCCTTTAGTTCACTCCCTGCACTCCAAGAAGGGAACGTGTGCTGTACCTGAGCTTGTCCTCTTCCAGGGCAGCCACTGGGCTCTGGACAAGCCAGAGTGACCGCCAGGCAGGCCCTTCCCATGGCAGGGAGCAGAGCTAGGGCACATGGCGGGACAGCGATGCCAGATAGCCATTGAGGGATGAGACTCACAACTGAGAGAAACGAGCTTTATTTCCAGTCTTCAATAGGTAGGGTAATACTTACTTCATAATGTTTTTGTGTAAATGCAGAATAGTAAAATACTGAGCAAGAAAATAATTTCTCAGTTCTGAAACCAAGTACTTTCTCTGCCATGAGTTTTATCTGGAATTAGCTTGGCTTAAACGCGTTAGAATTCTTTTGAAGTGCTATGTAGAGAGGGTGTAGCGTCTCCAGCTGTGGATCGCGGGCCTGGGGAGGCCTAGCTGCGAGAGGGTGCAGCGCAGCGCTCAGAGCACGGAGCGATGCAGCCGCCGGCTCTGCACCACCTGCAGCCTTTTCTGCCGCTCCGCGAAGTTACTCTTCAGCGTCTGCTTCAGCGCGGGCAGGATGGCTCGCTCCCCCCCCAGCAGCGGGCTCAGAATCAGGCTGGTGGGGGCAGAGGAGGGATCACTACAGGCGCCTTGGAGCGCAGACTTGGCTGGGAGTGGGGCCACGGTCAAGGCGCTGAGCCAGGGCCTGCTCTGCTGCGCCCTGGGCCTGCAGGCACTGGGCTTGGCGGCCGCCCCATCCCCCATGCCAGTGGGACTCACCATTTCTTAGAGATGCCCTTGGTGGGGACCTTGGGGAACTGCATGGCCTCCAGGTGAAGGGCCTCCTGGTCCCTAGTGAAGGAAGAGTCAGCAGTGAGCCCCAGACGAGCAGGCCCTGCCTAGCCTGTGACAGGGTGGACACTGTGCAGGGGCACGCACTTGGGAGAACTTGGCCCGGCCTCCTCGGGGGCAGCCTTAGGCCTCTGGTTCCCTTCCAGGAGGGACTTGAGGTGCTGCAGCTGCAAGGCAGGGAGAAGAGGCGTGGTGGGCGGGGCCCACAGAGGCACTGGTGCGTGCCCACTGCCCCAGCCTCACCTCTTGCGCCTGCAGGAGATTGGCGTTCCACAGCTGGCGGATGACCACCTCGCACTGCTGAAGTGTGGTGGGCTTGCGCAGGTAGGGAGGCAGGCTTGTCGTGGGGGGTGCCCCTGTCGCCTGCTTGCCCTTGTGCTGGCTGCCCGCCACTGAAGTGGCCACTGGATTAGAGGTCTCCACTTCTTCATCTCTGAAACAGTCACTGCAGCAGCCCAGAGGTGGCCTGCCAGGATTGGTCTAGCCACCCACCATCTCTCCTCAGGGCACCACCCGCACCAGTGTGAGGCCAGTATGGGGAAGTGGGGCGTCTACACAGCCTTCTCGGGGCCTGGCTCCCTTCTGCTGACCAGGGTGCTCCAGGCACCAGGTGGGGGGGTCTCTGGGGCCAGCTCTGACCTGGGCCTGTCCCTTTCTTGCCTCTCAAGGTACGCTGAGGGTCAGATGTGGTTCAGGCTGCCTGGCTGCCCATGGTGCTGACCCCACATCTGGTGGGGCTAGTCCAGAGGGAATCTAAGGATGGTGCAGAGAAGCAAGAGCCTATCCCACCAGCTGCACTACACAGGGGATGTGGGGTTCCCTTTTCGGATGCAAAGTCCAGCTCACTGCTGCTTTCCAGGGAAGTCCCAGAAACTTGGGTGTCACCAGAGCCTGGTCCTGCTCTGGCCTGCTGGCTCCATGCCTTCGAAAGGCGAAGCACGTTTCCCAGGGTGGAGCCTGGGAACCCAATTCACTGTTTTCTTGGTGAAAAGCAACCTAATTTGGAGGCCAAATTACCTTGCTTCCTTGAGAAAATGGTTTAGGGGCTGCTGCTGGCCCCTGTTGTGGGCTCAGATCAGCTCAGGGACCCTGCAGAATGCCTAGGGCGGGGTAGGGGAAGGCAGTGCCCACCAGATTGACGAGCCCTAAGGCCATCTGCTTTCGCGAGCTTGGTTCACGCTGGAGACTGGCCCATGTGGAAGGGCAAAGCAATCGGCTGGTTCTAGGGTGCGAACCTACTAAATGTAATCTCGGGCCGCAGGGTGCAGCGAGCCTTACTTGGCCTGCCCTTGTGCCCCGGGGGCTTTGTCCAGCTTGCTGTTGTGAAGCAGGGTGGTGCCTGGGGGCTCCTCTTCCAGGTCCATCTTCTGGGGAATGTCGGCTTTCGCGTCTTGCTTCTTGGAGGAACCAGGCTGGGGCCTGGCCTTGCCTTGAGAGTTGGCTGCAGGTCAGAGCCAGACAGTGCCAGTGACTGCAGGCATCAAGAGCCGCTGCCCAGGTCCTCGGGGAGCAGCTGTGTATGCCCACGGAGCCCCTGCCCCCACCTCAGCTTCCTCCTTGTAAAGGGGAGATGTTAACAGCCTCCCTCAGAGCTGCTGGGAGAACTGAGTGAGGGTCTGAGGATACTGCCTGTGGGTGGTCCTGCTGAATGCTCTCAAGCAGTCACAGTGGTGGAAGCTGGCTCCCTGAAGTAACTGAATCAGGGACAGCCCCACACCTCCCAGGCCTCCATAAAAGCCGGGGGAGGGGCAGCTTTTATGGAGGCCCCGCAACCTGTTCCCTGACTCTGAACCCCACTTTGCGCAAAATGAAACTGAATGAGATTCTGGGACGCAGCCTGCACAGGTTTACTCTCTGAGGAGAAGGCCCATTGCCCACCTGGGCCCTACATAGAAAGGGCAGGAGCTGCTCCTGGTGAGGATGCCTGGCCTCTTGGGGAGGCAGACTGGGGAGAAGAGGCTCTCAGCTCCCCTCACTCTGCCATAAGCCTAGGCTCCATAGGCAGGGCCATCCCACCTGCGTCCTGCCTGCTTTGGGGGTCACGGTGAGCAGGGCTTCTGCTGGGCAGCCAGCGCACTGCCTCCACCCTGGAAGACCACTCAGGGAGGTTCAGGGGGCTCTCGGGGCCGCTCTGTTCAGAGAGCCTGACTGCCTACCACCCTGCCCCAGGGTGGGCCCGCTGGGGGACCTTGTGCCCCGTGTTGACATCACGCCTTTGCAGCCAGGCGCGCCCAACTTTGTAGCCTCCCACCAGCTGGCCCATGGTCCTGTCCCACCTTGCCTCAGCACCTCTGGGTGGTTTTAGCTCATGACATCTGGGGGCTGCCCTCCTTGGCTCCCTTCAGCTGCCCCTCAACCCCCATGTCCACAGGGCCTGGCAAAGGTGCTCCCCAAAGTCTGCCCAACAGAGGACCACTAGGGGCTTTCAGCTCCCTGGTCAGTGCCCCACACCGGCTGCTCAGGCCTGGAGCCCCAGCGGGCACTTGCGCCTCCCTCGACCCTGAGCACACGAAGGGTGCTGGCACGCTTACCTGGCACTGTCGAATTTGAGACGGACTTGATGGACTGAAAGCTGGAATTGGAGATGCTGCCTGTGGGAGAACGCACAGGGGTCAGGCCAAGATGGCAGCAACGATCCTTCCATCCCAGCTTCTCCAGCAGCATCTGTGTATCCCCCGTGGGCGACGGGCCGGCCCACCCATGCCCACCTCCTGTCCTTGCAGGCCCCAGGCCATGCATTCGTGTGGAGCCCTCCCCACACTCTGGTGAGGCAGCCCCAGGCCCAGCCAGTGTCAGACAGAACAGAGGCCACGGGAAAGGGGGTTTCCGGGAAGGCCATCCAGATAGCAGGGGCTCAGGACCAAAGAAGCAGCAGGTCCCGAATGGGAGCACAACCTCTCCCAATGTCCCGTCGGGGATCCCCAGTGCTGTGGGACTAAGACTACTAACGGCTGGCTTCGTGCCCAGAACAGCTCACTACAGCTTCTCTGTCCTGCCAGAGAAGGCCCCACCACCCATTCTCTGTGTGTCTCCCAGGAAGGGAGAGCCCTGGGCACCCCACAGACTAGGGCATTCCAGGCTGGCACCACTCACCACTCAGACCACCTCCCTCACCACTCAGACCACCTCCCCATGACAGATCTGGCCCCCAAAGTAAGGGGGAGAGCGAGTCCGAGACAACCAGGCCAGGATGGGGGACAGGCAAGGGGAGTGGGCCACAGATGAGGAAGGGCCTCGGACAGGTGGCTGCAGGTCTCCGCGTCTCAGCTTCCTTCCCCCAGCTCCCACGGTCACTGTGGAGATGGCAGGGAGGATCCCCGGAAGGCGTGTGCCCAGAGCCACCTGTCCCAGGGTGTGAGAGATCAGAGGCACAGGGCTGGGGCTGCACTGAGCTCGCTGGCGTGTCAGAGGGAGCCTGAGGCCAGCCACAGCAGCAGTCCGAGTGAAAGAACCAACCAGGTGAGTGAGCCGGGAAGGCAGGGGGAGGGTCTGGGCAGCACACGACCCCAGCTGCTCTGCCCACTGTCCACACTGCACAGACCTCAGGCCTTAAGTTCCCCAAGCGCAGCACCTGCTGTGCTTGGGTGCCCAAATTCACCCAGACCATGGCTGGGACAGTGGTGTCTGTCTGTCCAGGTCCCCTAGGACCCCTCCCCACTGGGCTAGTGAGCAGACCAGTGCAGCCAGGTCAGCACAAGCAGTCTGGAGGGGCTGCTCCCGACATGGGTAACTTCCCATCAGGCACCCCAAGGCCTCAGTCTTACCTTTCTGCTGCGGCTTCTGATTCATTATTAGCTTGTAATGGAGATCTGAAAGCAAGCACACGCTCCTGGTCATTTTGGAAGCTGCAGCCACTCTGAGAGAAGAGTCTTGGCTTGCCCTGCCCACTCCCTCCCTGCTGAGCCCCTAGAGACCTCACTCATGACCTTGGCTGCCAGGACCTGCCCCAGGACCCTGCCTTGGGTGCCCTAGGGCCGGGAAAGCCTCTGGCTGTTCCCTGAGCCAGAGCCCCTGTGTGAGAGCCTCGCCCAAAGTCCGTCCCTCCATCCATGACGTCTCCAGGGCACCCCTGCCAAGGGGGGAGCCCCTGGCCATGGATGAGCAGATGTGGTCAGTGCAATAATCAAGTGACACCCTGGACAGGGGCTGGCAACAGTTGGCGGCCCAGGGTGGGACACAAGAAGCCTGGGAGGGGAGGGTCCTGACATAATGGACACCCAGTGATCAGATACTTGGCACTCCAAGTAAAGGCAGCAGGGGAAAGGAGGGGAGTGAGAAAGAAGGCAGGCTTAGAGGTGTGTGCCGAGGAGCACTCTCTAAGGCTAAGGGAGGCAGGAAGGAGAAGCAGGGGCCCATTGTGGAAGGCCTCAGGTTCTGCTTCAGGCCTGGCCCACGGGAATGAGGAGCCACGAGAGGTGCAAAGTTAGGAAGGCCCTGCCCTGAGGACATGTGTGGGCACAGGCCGCAGGTGTCCGAGGAGGGGCTGGACAGGGCCAAGAGATCCCTCGGGGTTCGGCATGTCTGCCTTTGATCTGGGTGTGTTCAGTCTGTGAAAATTCATCAAGCTGTATACTCGTACATTTGGGGATATGATTTACTTCTACAAAAAGTTTTTTAAAACGAGGCGAGCCTGACCCTGCCTAGAGAGGAGACCACTGGCCGGGTTACCTTGGGAAGTGACGCACCAGACCCGCCCCCGCCAGATGGGCGGGCCGCCTGGAGGCACTGCCCACGACGACACCGCCAGGTCTTCGGCCTGGGGCAGGGAGCCCGAGCCCGCCGTGGCAGGACCCGGGGTGGCGCTTGCTGCCTGTGTTCCCTAAACCCTGCGTGTTCTAGAGCCCGTGCGCTGTGTCGGGGCTGGGGGCCGTGGCGGGGTTCAGGGCACCTGGGAGGCCGGTCTGCGTCTCTCGGGCCCCAACCGCGGAGGGCGCCCGCCCCCGGCCCCGCCGCCCGGACTCACCCTTGTTCTCCCGCTTCAGGTACTCGATCTCCTCGTGGAGCTTGACCAGCGTCTCCGAGTGCTGCTGCTGCAGGAACTGCAGGCTCTTCTCCAGGTCCAGGACCCGCTTCTGCGCCTCGCTGAGCCCAAGCTGCGCGCCGTGCTGCCCGGGGTGCTGGAGGACCACGGGCGGGCGCGGGCGCGGGCGCGACACCCCCCGGGAGCCCAGAGCCCCCGAGCTGGGAGGCCGCTGCCCGGCCGACACCCGCGCCGCGCTCATGTCGCCGCCGCCGCCGAGGCAAGCCCACTGGGTGGCCTGGCGCCGCGTCGCCATGGAAACACGCGCGACCCAGGGGGTGTGGCGTGCGGTGGGGGCGGGGCGTGGACGCCCGAGAGGCGTGGTGTGCGCGTGGGGGCGGGGCCTGGGCCACGTTCTGCCTGGGTGAGTGCACAGTGACTTGAAAGGCATCCTCTGGCATAATTAGACCTCAGGGAATCGTCTGCCTTTACCGTAGGCCCTATATTTCATTTTGTTCGCTTGTTGTGTTTTAATAGTTCACTTTTTGAATAGATGATAGGATTACAGTTTCAAGTATCAAAAGGTAGAGTGTCCACTTCTAATAATTGCAGAACCATTGTGCATTATGAAATGTGGACAAAATCTATGAAACAGCTGTCGGAAGGCTGGAGAAGAAGAAAAAGCAGGTGGAAACCAGGGGGGCAGCTCTTCCCCTGAGGGCTCTCTCTAGTGAGTTAGACCTCAAACAGGAAGCCACGGGCTTATTGGCTTGAGAAGGCAGAGGATGGAATTTGGGACGGCCACTGGAGCGGAAAATTGAGAGGAGTAATGCTGGGAAGTTTGTAGCCTCAGCAGGTGAGGAGCCAGAAGCTATAAACTCCCTTCGAATACGTGGCTGGCCTGAACTGCCCATGTGTGGGTAAGATTCCAAAGATCCCAGGGAAAGACAGAGCTGGAAGGTGGAAAGAGCTGAAGAAGAGGGGCCGCCCCGTGGCTTAGCGGTTAAGTGTGCGCGCTCTGCTGCTGGCACCCCGGGTTCGGATCCTGGGTGCGCACTGACGCACTGCTTCCCTGGCCACGCTGAGGCCACGTCCCACATACGGCAGCTAGAAGGATGTGCAGCTATGACATACAACTATCTACTGGGGCTTTGGGGGGAAAAATAAATAAATAAAATTATAAAAAAAAAAAAAAAAAAAAGAGCTGAAGAAGAGATTCATTTGCTGTCACCTCCAGGAGAGACTGAGTTTGAAGTCTGACAGTCACAGGAGCTTGGTAAACGCCTCAGTTTTCCATTTAAACCCCACTCGAAAGGGCCACAGCTTGGGAATAAAGACTCTATTTTAGAAATAAAGGATTTGCACTAAGACTAAGGGCAAAATCAAAACATATCTGTCCTAACAAAACTTAAAGCCCAGCCTCCACAAGTTCACTGTGATCTTCCAGTGATTCAACTGCCTAGAGAACAAAACTCAACACTCTTCAGGGAATGCTAACAGAATGCAGAGTCTCTATGACCCACCATCCACAATATCTGATATACAATAATAAATACCAGCGAAACAAAGAAAAAGACAAATGTGATGGAGTCAAGAGAAAAAAATTCAGATTCAGTCAACAGAAACAGATCCACAAATAATTCTAGATAATAGAATTAACAGAAAAGTACTTTATAATAAATATGTTAAAAATCTACAGAAAAAGATGGCTATAGTGATTGAAATCATGGAGAATTTAAAAAACGATTGGGAAAGTATTTAAAAAAAAAAAAAGGAAATCCTAGAACTAAAAACATATCTGGAATTCTGGTTTCCTGGTCTGGCATGTCAGGAACTTGGAAGTCATCACTCCCATCCACACAAAAAGAAAAAAGCTGAACAAACTGAAAATCAATAACTCTGTTTAGATCTGTCAAAGAATTAGATCACAGGACAAACCGCTGCCCCCAAAATTGGAGAGGCAGACAGGTAGACACAGAGCATTACAACTTACTGGAGCAAAAGTCCTCGAGCAGGAGCCTGTGCGGGAACCAGCAGCAGAGTGGGCAGGAAATTCTAAACCATAATTAAGGAGTTGCTGGTGTGGCTCAGTGTGGACAAGTCTGAGAGAGGGAAAATCCGGAGAGGTCTAATCTTAAGAGGCTGGCAAATTTTTGTGAGTTTAACCTCCAGGAGCCCTACCAGATTTTCACAGGGAAGAATGGAAAAGAATCCCCTTGTGCTCCAGGCAGAAGGAAGGGGAAAGTAGCCATTTTGAAATATGCCCACAGAATTCTGTTTTTCTTTACAAGGCCTGCTCTCAGTAGAAACTAAGAGGTCCAAAAGAGCTAAACTGATTGGGATTTCACCAGAGCCTAACTGACCTGGAGGAAGAGAAGTATCCAATTTCAGCCCCATTTAGCCCCTCCCTCTCTCCACACCACACCCCCATATCAGTAAGGCTCCTGTATAAAAGCAGGGGATACAAGTGAAAGAACTGCTCATGTCAGACCTTATTTAAGAAGTCTCTAGGAAAACCCAAAGACAACAGAGAAGACAAAGAGGACATCTTTGCCTCTGACACCTATGACTATAGCAAACAATAAACATGGACTAAACCCTAGCTAGATAAGCATAAAACTTCACACTGAAGGCCTTTTGCCTCATTTTCTTCTATCCAGTGCATCATGTCCAACTTTCAACAAAGAATTACAAGGCATACTAAAAGACAAAATCATAATTTGAAGAAACAGAGCAAGCATCAGAGCCAGACTCAGATATGGCAGAGATATTGGAATTTAAAATGACTATGATTAATAAGTTAGGGGCTCTAATGGAAAAAGTGGACAACATGCAAGAACAGAAGGGTAAGGTAAGCAGAGACATGGAAACTAAGAATGAAAAGAAAATGTGAGAAATAAAAAACACTGTAATAGGAGTGAAAAATGCCTTTGATGGGCTCATCAGTAGATTGGACATGGCCAAGGAAAGATTTAGTGAGCTTGAAGATATGTCAATAGAAAGTTCCAAAACTGAAATGCGAAGAGAAAAATGAATGAAAAAGACAGGACAGAATATCCAAGAATGCTGACTGTTACAAAAGGTATAACATGTGCATAATGGGAATACCAGAAGGAGAAGAAAGAGAAAGGAATAGAAAAAACATTAAAGCAATAATGACTGATAATTTCATAAAATTAAAAAAAGACAACAAATCACCAATCCAGGAAGCTCAGGGAACACAAGGCAGGATAAACACCAAAAAAAAAAAAAAAAAAAAAAA